TCTTCACAGAAGCAAAGCCCAAACCACACCCACTGCTGTGGAGTCCATTCCGACCCACAGCGCCCCTAGAGGACAGAGTGGAACTGCCTCACAGGGTCTCCAAGGCTGTCAATCTTCAGGAAGTAAAGCCCAAACCACACCCACTGCCTGGAGTCCATTCTGACCCACAGCGCCCCTAGAGGACAGAGTGGAACTGCCCACAGGGTTTCCTAGGCTGTCATTCTTCACAGAAGCAAAGCCCAAACCACACCCATTGCCTGGAGTCCATTCTGACCCACAGCGCCCCTAGAGGACAGAGTGGAACTGCCCCAGGGGGCTTCCAAGGCTGTCATCTTTAGAGATGCAAACTGCCACATCTTTCTCCCACGGAGTGGTCAGTGGGTTTAAACTGCCAACTTTCCAGTTAGCAGCCAAGGGCTTTAACTACCGTGCCACCAGGGCTCCCAAGGCATTGAGGAGGAATTTTAAAAAATAGGGTAATTGGAGTAGGCAAACACATGGCTCTGCCTCCTGCCAGCTGTGTGGTCTCCAGCAATTCATCTAACCTCTCTGTGCCCCAGTTTCCTCATTTGTGAGATATGGCCGATGGTAACCACCCCCACTGGCTCGAGGTCACTGTGAGGATTGTGAGCTCCTATGTGTGGGGCTTTCAAAAGAGCTGGGCTGACCATGGGGTCAGCACCACGTGGGCCCTGTCACAGTTCCGGCATCGATGAGGCCCCCGGCCCCCTGCTGCCCGGTTCCCCTTGCCCACTGCACAGGGAGCCGCGGCCACACACTTCTCATCTGTCCATTCACAGCCTTCATGCACATTCAGGGTAACCCAGACCCAGGAGGGCCTCTTCAGTTCCTGCTCTGGACTCAGGGAGTTTGGAGAAGGAAGGATACTTGTATATACATGTTTCACCCCTTTTTAATACAAATAACACACTTACTTGTTTCTCTGTACCTCGTTTTTTTTCTCTTCATGGTGCATTTTGGGGACTGTTTGCAGTCAGGACAGGAAGAGCGTCCCCAGTTTTCCCATAGCTGCATCATCCTGCGCTCTATGCCTGTGCTGTATTTGACTTAACTAGCCCCCCAGTTAAGCTCTGGGAGCTCTGGTGGCATGGTGCCAGAAGGTTGGTGGTTCCTCGGAAGGAAGGTTGGACAATCTACTTCTGTAGTGATACCACCTCGGAAACCCAAGGAGGGGTCGCTATGAGTCGGGTCCGACTCGACGGCAGTGAGTTTGGTTTGGTCTTGGAGCCTCCCACTGATGAATCTTTAGCTTGTTTCCAGCGGGGCCAAGAATAAACCTGAGTCTGCTTCATCGTGGAGGAGTGCTGGTGGTGCAGCGGTTAAAGCATTCGGCTGCTAACCAAAAGGTTGGCGGTTTGAGCTCCCTGGCTGCTCTGTGAGAAAAAGACGAGTCAGTCTGCTTCCATAAAGATTTACGGAAACCCTACGTGGCAGTTCTACTCTGTCCTGTAGGGTCACTATGAGTTGGAATTGAGTCGATGACAGTGGCAGTAGGTAACGGCTGACGAGGAGCTCTGGTGGTGGCGCAGTGCTTAAAGCCTTTGGTTGCTGACCAGAAGGTCGTCAGTTTGAACCACCAGCTGCTCTGTGGGTGAAAGATGAGGCAGTGGACTCAGTAAAGACGACAGCCCTGCAAACCCTCTGGGGCAGTCCCACTCTGTCCTCTAGGGGCGCTGTGAGTCGGAATCCATTCCACAGCAGTGGGTGAGGTTTGGGCTTTGCTTCCATGAAGATTGACAGCCTTGGAGACCCTGTGGGGCAGTTCCACTCTGTCCTCTAGGGGCGCTGTGGGTCAGAATGGAC